TGAACTCTTTGTTATTTATATAATAAGTTACCACTAATTTGACACCCTGACTAAATTGCAAAGTATGCTTCTCACATATGTGCTATAATTTTGGCAACATTGAAGAAAAAAATTTGACTGCAAGCACAACCTTAACAAAGGGATTCAATTGCACTTTTTCGATCTCCGTTTAAGGGGTTCATTAGAGTTTTTTCATTTAGAAACTCAATTACACTATTTGCTCAACTTAGGGTTGACACTTTTTTATTTAAGATTGATCAATTGTTATTAGACTTTTAAATAATATTATAATTATCGTTGTTAGGATCAAGCGTTTGCCACTACACCAAAAGTTATAGCTAGTAGTGAAGGTACAACTTTATTTTCTTATACCACCACATATTTTTGAGACGCGCGCGAGGTGCTGTAGCTGAATTTAGTCTTTTAAGACCTTTACCAGTCTCCGCTTAATAATACCCCAGCCACTGGATGCTAGACTTGGCATTTACTGAATTACGGACCTCTGCCCAACAATTATGTATTCACTAGTTTGTACTTATGTTGTATTAATTATTTACGGTATAGTAAAAACAAACAAGCTGCAAGTAATCATATTGTATCAACAAAAATTTTGTTATTCTATACATAGTTTCCAAATAATCATGAATAATGTCTGCTAACACCGAATCATTAATCTGATTGCTATTGTCTGATCTTTGCATGCATGTAAATGTTTTAGTGTGTGTATGTACAGTATGCATGCATGTAGGCATGCATCACAGTAATACAGTATCAACGTTTTAACGAGGAATTAATTACAGAAGGGATTAATGTAATACTCTCTTTGTCTCATTTTATCTGTTGTACTTACTATGCATTGATCAAACTAAATCTTTCTTCTTTACTTGTTTTCATTAGTGTTTACTTATAATTTTTTGAGTTAATTCCTAAAATGGTCCTCTGACTATGGCCTTTTCTCAAATTGGTCCATTGACTTTTAATTTTCCCAAAGTGGTCCTCCAACTTTTGAATTTTAAATCAAAATGGTCCTCCGCCGTTAGCTTGGTGTTAAGTTGGTGTTAAAATGAAGGGTAAAACTGGAAATTTAAGTTTTGCACTCCAATTTAGAACAATCTGTGATTCCTTTCACCAGTCTGCGCACATATTTCTTCAAATTAGATTTTTGCTCTCCTAAACCTGCGATCAAAATGTGGGATAATCAACTAGAATGCCAAAAAAGTTCATCTTCGATCAACTTCATCAACAAACTTCCCAATGCAAAGATTTATGGCCTTCTATACTAGTTGATTATCCCACATTTTGATTGCAGATTTAGGAGAGCAAAAACTTAATTTGAAGAAATATGTGCGTAGACTGCTGAAAGGAATCACATATTGCTTTAAATTGGAGTGCAAAACATAAATATCCAGTTTTACCCTTCATTTTAACACCAACTTAACGCCAAAGCTAACGGGGGACCATTTTGGCTTAAAAATCAAAAGTCGAAGGACCACTTTGGGGAAATTAAAAGTCAAGGGACTAATTTGAGAAAAGACTATAGTCGGAGGACCATTTTAGAAATTAACTCTAATTTTTAAATTTGATTTCTTGTATTTAATAGTACTTTTAATGTAGTTTCTAAATATATAAATTTCACCTACTAACTCTAAACTTAATATTATGACAAATTAAATTGTAAATAACTTCAATCAAACCATGTTAGTCGCATGGTCGATTTTTAGATTTTTGTGATCCTGTACTTATAAATAAATGAGGCTATTACCAAAAGTATAAGCATAATCTTTAAAACGAATATCATAAAATATATGACTCTTCTTCTCAATTACAGAATGGTTTGGCCATGCTCAATTAATTAGATCCTAATTATTAGGAGAGAGAAGTGACTTAGGAAAAAATTGATGAGTTTTAAAATTAATTGTAAAAAAAATTATTTCTTAAGTAACTAGGTAAAATATAAATATTGAACCCTCTAAAATTGAAATCATGTGTTGTTGTCCATCTTGCATAGTTTAAAATCAGATCATATTAATCAGACACATAAAATAGGACCCGAGTATAATGACTGGCAAAAGCCGATAAGGCCATCCAGCAAACTGACAAACACAGGTCGCAGAATGTTTCGAAACAGCAAATGATTAACTAACGTTATCAGCCGGCCTGATAGGGACAGCTGGGGATTCCGGCGTGGCATCCACGTGTCAGCGCTGTAGTGGTGCCAAGTGCCAAAGGGCGGCGGACCAAATAGACAAAGCGAGCTGGAATATTGTATATTGAGGGAAAAGAGGTGACAGTGCTTAAGAATATCAGAGAGAGGATGTGTTAAGCTAATGATGAAGTTAATTTGTTTTGTTTCAGTGTAGAAAATAAAATAAAATAAAATAAAAAGTGGAAAAGCTTAGAGCATAATATAACGGTGGTGAGAGGGGGTGTGGTGGCGTGAGAATTCGTTGTCACGCCGTCCAAACAGGCCTTTCATCTATCTGCCACCCCACGCGTAATCATCAATAACCATCACTCCCAGCCCACCCCAACTATTTTTCTATTTAACATTTGTACTATATATATATATATATATATATATATATATATATATATATATATATATATATATATATATATAAACTCAGGATCACATAAGAACACACAGTAAGAGAAAACTAATAACTAATTTCAGCTTTACATATGTAAAAATTGGATGGATCATATCATATTTTTTTAAAAAAAAATGCGGTAACATTTTTTTAATTATCGTCAATTTCACTTTGCAAACTTGAACACTTAAATATTCAATATGTAACAACTAAATACGCAAATTTGGATAAATTTTAAAAAAATCAATGAAAAAAACTAAATTTTAAATCTAAACTGTAAATGCTAGACCCTAATTAGTAAAAAGTGAACTAAACAAAATAAAACAAAAAACTCAGTCATAAACTCTATAATCAAACCTGATAGGGAATATACCGCGGGACCCGTTACCTATACATACCACATACATGCTCGGTATCCGGGCGGGCCGTCGAGATGAATTATTCTCAGACATTTATCGACCTGGTGTAATCCAATCCAACCTATCGTAAAGTGCCGAGTTGAGGCTCAACTGGCGGCAGTAACGCCCCGCCTTTGGGGTCTTCCCGATTATCTTAGATCGGTATGAAATACCCGATCTCTCCCACATAGAGAACGAAACTTCAATCTCTTTAGTCAAACCCAACGGTAGCAAAAGCAAGGGCGTCAAGAACCTTTGTGCACGTGGAGGAATCAGTGGGGCCTCTGGCCTGCCCCTGTGCATGAGTAGCATGTGTCACACATGCTGAGCGTCCGACATGCGCTTCCCATCTCTCCTATAAATATCGCATTAAATGCAAGGAAGAGGACTTTTAGCGGATTTTACACAGTTTTTATATGTTCGGGACCCTTTGACTCACTGTCACTTCATCCCGAGCTTACTCCTTCATCATTAAATCAATAAACCAGTATGAAATTCAAGAGACAATTGTATTATCCAACTTAATATCCGTATACCTGATAGTATTTACACTATCAGAACCCCTAAGTGTAATGCACTTTTTGCAATTTTGCAATCTTTTAATACTAAATGTGCAAACCTGAAAAATTATAAGAAATGCATATTTTAGTATTCAAGTTTGCATAGTAAAATTAGTAATAATTATGAAAATGCCACTGCATTTTTTTAAAAAAATATATCATCTAGTATGTCCGATTTTTCCAGATGTAAGGCTGAGATTAGTTCTTAGTTTTCTCTTTAAGGACTTGTTCTGACACACACACACACACACACACACACACACGCACACACACAATGGACATATCAAATGTTCAGTAAAAAGTGAAGATTGATCTTAGTCATCCGGTTTATCAATGGTTGAGGGTTTTAGTAAAAAATAATAATAAAAAAAACATTGGAATTAATTTTATAAAATTATTGAAAACTTTTAAAAGCATGATTTAATATTTTATAATTATTGCAAACTTGAAAATTTAGTAATGATAAGATCCTAAACTTTGAACTTTAATTTATAGATATAGAAGTCTATTTCCTGGGTGTGTTTGGTTCATGGGTTTACACACTAAGAATGAGAATCAAAATCATAGTTAGTGTTTGGTTGACAACTTTTTAAAATACAACTATGAGATTTGATTACCCCTTCAATTAAAAAACACATTCCGTAATTAAAAAATGTGTCATTCCATCTTATTGGTAATATGATTTTTAAGTTTAGATTAGTTCTTTTTGATTATTAATTTTTTTTTTTTTTTTTTTTGTTGACATTGGTGCTTTGGATGTCATTATATTAGGATCAATTGCTTTGATTTTTTTTTTTGTTTTTATATTTTTAAAATCCTTATTCTCATTATAGAGTCCTACATAACCAAACATCAATATTGGTAATCATTCCAATTTCACCCTACTATCAAACATGCAAAAATACTTTCACCAAAACTCATACCATTACCAAGTATTTGATTCTCATTCCGGTTCCAATTCCCATGTACAAACCAAACACAACTTTAATTCATCTTGCTCGTCGTAAACTTTACTAATCATAATTTTTTTATTTCTTTGAACAATATATAATCAATCTTTCTATAACCTAATCTCCAAAAATCTGCAGGATTATTGGTAAACAATCTTAACTTGTAATGATTATTATTTATAGAAGTGATAGATGACTATTATTTAATATAGAGTATATCCCAATCCAATAATAATCCTAGTGTTGTACCAAAAATGAAAAATGAAGTTGCTTAAGCTACTCCAACATCCCAATTGAGGAAATAAAAATGGCTCAAAGTAAAGGAAGAAAAAGAAATGGAAAAGATGGAGTTGAGTTGTCTTAGTACTATTAGTTTGGTGTTTTTTTATTTTGTATTTAAATATGTATATGTAGGTGGAAGTGGATAGGTTAGTTTAAGTGCACTCTTGTTCCAACCCTGTCACTTTCACACATTCCTGGGTGGTCTCTACCTGCTTATCGCATTCCATTCCCCCCCTCTTTATTTATATGTCTCTCACCAATAACCTTGCAACCAACACCTCTTTCCCTGCACTTATTATATGCACTATTTCCTTCTCTCTTTCATCTCTCTCTCTCTCTCTCTCTCTCTCTCTCTCTCTCTCTCTCCACCCCCCAATTATTGGCACCCAACAGCAGTGTATACAAGCTAGGTTGAACTTTCTGGTTAGTATTCTCCATAGGTTTTGATTTCTTGTCATCTTCTTTCTTCATTCTTTGTTCTTAATAAAAGAAAAAAAAAAACATTCTTGTTTTGCTTGCATGCTGATCAAAGTTTAGGTTTCCATGATGTTTTTGAAGATAATGCCCTAATGTATTTCCATTATCTCACACCCAAACGCACACCTTATAAGTACTAATCAAGGTTAATTAAACTTTTACAGAATTCATCTCTTAATTTTGAGCTTTAAAACTGTTTTATGGTTATCATATAATGTGGTCATATATACAATCTTAGAATAATAAGTAAAACAAAAATCTCCTCTATTATAAAAACCTCACACACTCTGCCATATTACCATTCTTTGAAAGCTAAGTTATACATTTGCTCAAGAAATTATATACTGAAATCGTTGTATATATCTTGAGAAAAAGGAGAATTGTATGTGACACAGGCTTTGATATTTTTTTTTTTCTATTTTCTAATTGCGCATTATCGTTAGTTTCACATATATTAAACATAATGTAATTGGAAAATAAGTAGAATTAGTTTGAGAAAAGGGGGTTAAGTTTTTCTCAAGAGTGGGTTATTGAGTAGTAACATTCATGTTTTGGCTGACGAGGGAAACCCGCAGCCACTATTTAAGGGCCTGCATTAGGTAAACCCCGCCTTGTAACCCTAGTCGGCAAAGGACCACAAGAAGATAAACCAGTTTAAGTTATCCATAGCAGATCGGTTCAAGCCAAGAGAGCTGGGATTCAAACTCATGACCTTATGGTTCTACAGTTGTATCCTTAATCATCTTGGTTGGGTTAGTTGAGTAATATTGGTGTTTTGGGGCAAGGGCATGAAGAGGTAGAAAGTGATGGAGGGTGGGTGTGAAAAGGGTTTTCTAAGGTAGGGATGACATAATGGAGTGGAATGCACTCAAAGAAATGATTTCCCAACATGCTTAAAACCTATTGGCTGTTTCTTCAATTCACTCGACACAACACAAATAAAAGTCAAAGTTTTACGGCTGTGTTATGTAGTGCTCTCCTGTTCATATTTTTGCATGCTAATTATGCAACTGTTTGTGTCCTAATTCATCATTATCATCTCATTCTTTTCCCATTGTTTTAATTGAATATTTTTTGGGTTAACAATAATGACCCTTTGCCTCACGAATGTGTGGATAGATAAAGGGAATGATGACAAATCTTACAAGACCAGGAAGTGTAAAATTCACTCACTTTAAGGGCATCACAGAAACTCTCTCACATCATTGCATTGAGAGAGAGAGAGAGAGAGAGGGGAAATTGGGAATGTCTTTCCTTGCAAAAGTTGCTTTTTGATTTGATGGGAGTACATATGTATTTCATCTTCTTCTTCTTCTTATCAGTTGTCTTCTTTCCAACACATTTTCACAGAAAATTAATTAAAGCAATTAAGAAGATCAGAAATGGAGATGGAATGTTGTGTCCCTCCAGGTTTCAGATTTCATCCAACTGAGGAAGAGCTTGTAGGGTACTACCTGAAGAGGAAGATCAACTCTTTGAAGATTGATCTAGATGTAATCACTGACATTGATCTCTATAGAATGGAGCCATGGGACATTCAAGGTACATTTTAATTTTAATAATAATATTCCAATTCTCTTCAATTCTTCCCCTCTTATATACATTTCTCACATGACATTTAATGGGGGTACGTGTTAGTCAAAAGATCTTATATCTCATAACATGATAAAATCATCAAGATTTGAAATGAGAGGATGGGATTGATTCACTTCAATAATATAATAATTAAGGTCTTAACCTGGGGTGGGGGTGTGGTTGAGTGTAAGTAACTCATCCATCCTTAATCAAAGGTTAAGGGTTTGATAATTAACTTTGGGTATAGAACAGTCTTAAATTTTCAAGTCAGCTGTCCCACTCAAAAGGGTGCCTACAAGCGATTAGTCACTGTGTCTTACGGTAGAATCTCTGGGTACACCCAAAAAAAATATTAAGTTCATTTTTATAACTTGACAAACTTAAAATTTTGAGTTCTGTAATTGTCAAATCAGGTCAATCGAATTAAGATATGAACTTAAATAAAGAATTTTGTTTAATTTAATAATTTTTCTTTGGCTAAAATTAATTCATAAAAATAATATATTTTAATCATTTAGGACTAAGGGGTTACGGGATTGATTAAAATTCTATATCATCTAATTATAATAAAGTTAATAATGCAGGTAAGTATGTGGTCCTAAAAGGAGTAGTCAAATGTGTGAAATATGATTATCCCACTAAAATAACGAGTTTAATTCTTACCAACACTTGTCTAATTAACCTCCAGTTACTATATGTAAGCTACCTACGTTTAATAATAGAATTTTTTATTATCTAGTTGTCATATTCTTCTTAAAGCATTCAAATTAGACAGGAAAACAATTTTATATATTCAGACTTGTGTGACATAGCTAGCTAGGTCTTAGTTAATTTTGAATTTGTTTTGGTTTTTGAGTAAGTGTAGACAGGTGCAAGTTGGGATACGAAGAGCAGAGCGAGTGGTATTTCTTCAGCCACAAGGATAGGAAGTATCCGACGGGGACTCGGACGAACCGAGCCACGGCCGCCGGATTCTGGAAAGCCACTGGAAGGGATAAGGCTGTGGTGAACAAGGAGGAGCAGATCATAGGGATGAGGAAGACGCTGGTATTCTACAAAGGCAGAGCTCCCAATGGGAGGAAAACTGATTGGATCATGCATGAATATCGCCTTCAAACTTCTGAACATGGACCACCTCAGGCAAGTAATTAAGCATCCATGCATTATATATATATATATATATATTATATATATATATATATATATATATATATATATATATATATAGTAGGGTTCCAGTGAGAACATGTGCTTAGGTGAGAACATGAGAACACATCATGTGCATCCCTCTAATATTTTTTAATGGTATAGATTAGATTAAGTGTGTGCGAACGCACATTAAATGTGTGCAAACACATTTAATCGCGTTTGCACACATTTAATGAACGTTCGCACACACTTAATCTAATCTAACGCAGGTGTTCTCATATGATCTTTTATATATATATATATATTTCGCACATGTAGAAATATACCATAGTTCAGATAAAAATATTGTGTGCTTATTTATAAAGTAAAAACATTGTTCAAACTTTGGAGGATTCATGCACTTTCACCTTTATTAATTCTAGCTTGTGGACCTTTTTAAAAGAGAATTATATAGTAATTAAATTTTATGCGCTTGCATAATAGTTTTTCTTACTGTATAGTTAAGCACGGAAAAAAAAAATGTTTCACTTCGATCTATAATGTTTTTGGTTTCCAGTTTGATTGAACTTCATGTTTATTTAGGACTACTTCAATTTTTTTGAAAAATCATTTTCAATTGAATTGGAATACTTTATTTCTAATGAAATTGTTCGTTTGACTTCATGAGTTTCATGTTCATTTTGAATTATTTTAGGTTTTTTTTTTTTTGGGAAAAATCTGTATGTTGATTTTCATGGAATTGGTGCCCTACCAATCTACCATGTATGTGTTTGTTTCATAGTCTATTTACTTATTTAATGTCCAAGTCTAAAAGGAGCATGTTAAGCCCACAATATATATTTGTAAAGAAAAAAATAGTAATCTACTTTTATCCCGACTCATGGATTTGGAGCCTGTTTATGAGTTTGAGAACATAGTTTGACGAAATTGGGAAATACGTATTATTTAAAAAAAAAAAAAATAGTTAAGCTAATAGTTTCAAAAAGTACAGTAGTGGGAATCAAGAAAATTGTCAACTTCTTTTTTGTTTTCCTTCATTCTTTTTGACTTTATCAATGTGCATTTGACCATCAAAATTGTAAAACACTAGGGAGTTAGTGGTTTTTATGATGTTCCTAAGCATGGAAAGCAACCATCAGCTCCATCTAGTTTTCCACTTTCTGAGGTTGAAATTGTTTGTTCATTAGACTAGACTAGCTAGGATTACTATTAATATCATCATTGCTAGCTCTTCAATTCCCTTGTTCCATGATTTCCTAAAAACACATTCCTATATGGCTATATGAGTATATGCATCTTGCCTGCCCAATGGTTCCATAATGTTGAAAATCAAAAATTTAATCCCCCTGACACATAGTGCATATTATCTAGTCAATTAGTTCATCACTCACATCAATGTTGATCATTAGTTTAGAATTTTCCTACTTGAAAAATATTCAGGGGCAGATCAGAAGACGGGTAAGGGGGGCAGTTGCCCCCCCTTCCCTACCCCCATTAATTTTATTTATATATATATATATATATATATATATATATATATATATATGTAGGGTCAGGTTCTCGTGCGAACAGTGCTTCTCGTGCGGATACTCACCATTAGGTACACATAAATGCACCACAAAGTATTCGAAAATGCACCATTAGGTGTGTTGCATTTTGTAGTGCATTTTCGAACACTGTTTGATGCATTTTTGCATACTTAATGATGAATTCGCACCGGTCGCACCGAAAATACTATTCGCATTTGAACATATATATATATATATATATATATATATATATATATATATATATATATATATACACACACGCACATTAATAATGTATTATTATACATAAAAATCATTGAAAGTTGAAGCAGCTTAGTTGGTTGGTTGAAGTATGGATCTTCTATTGAACTGATTTATCATATATATAATTGCAGAAAATAGAGAAACTAATCAAATGTATTAATTGTGCTTATAATTTTATAGGAAGAAGGATGGGTTGTTTGTCGAGCATTCAAAAAGCCAATTCCAAACACAAAGCCATATAATGATGGTTGGAACTACAAGTATTCTTATAGGCCTCCATCAATTTCTGACGACATATCATCAACTAATCCATTATTATTGCATGGCATCAACACATTCAACAATAATCAAGCCATCACAAATCGTCACCAATTCCCTAATTTCCAGCTGCCACCCCATCACCACCAAGACGGCCTGATCCTGCCCCCCGCCGCCGCCGGCAATGGCGACAACCACCTGGTCGAACTTCCCCAGCTCGACAGCCCCACGATGTCGACAAGTTTTGCGACGAAAGATGGGACGTTCGTCGCAAATGAAGATGGGGAGGTTGAGAAGCAGCTAGAGAATTACGGCGACGAATTTCAGAATTGGAAGAATATTGTGGAGGACAGGTTTCTTGAAGTGCCACTTTCGGCGACGACTGACCCACTGCTACCCGCTTCTTCATTCCCTAACGTAAACATGCCATTGATCATTAGCGACGATTCTCAACATCATATAAGCCACCTCCTCCAGTGTTTCCCAGATTTATAGCTCCAACGCTCCCATTGCATGGACGTGATGATATATCGTTCCCTCATATATATATACATATATATACTATATATATAGTGAAATATTATTGTTTGTGATTAATAACAGTCCTCTCAACAACTGATCAAAAGGGCATGTTTTTTTAAGGCTGCCGGTCTGAACCAATGAGATTTATAGAGGATATAAATTAGCCGGGGCTACAGCAAATTAAGCCTGCAGGAGCCTTGGCCATGCATATATCTTCAATGGTTCGTCCACCAATTTGACTGTTTAGTTATGGTATTTCAATTCTGCAATAATAATTGTGTTGTTTAATTCAACCCTATTGACTAATGGTCAAGAAATGCATGCCATGGCTTCTTCATGCATACACTTAATTAACTGTTTATGATGCTTTCTCATCACCGTACCGCAATAATAAAGAAATTTGTGATGGATGGGATGTTGTAAACAGATGATAAAACTGAAATTCCCATCCGACCGGGTTACCTTGGTGATCATGTTGTCTATTTCCCAAGAGCGAATCCCGTGCATGACACAAAGCCTCCGCTAGCCACTTGTTTAAAGTTTTAAAGTGGTGATGGTGGTTTTGAGTGTAAGCACATAATCCATGTTATGCATATAATACATGCCAATAAAGCATAAACCCACTAACCTCTCGCCTTGGTCTTTGTTCTTGATTGTCTGAATTCGTTGTCTATTGAACATGAGTTCCTCGGACTGCTGTGAAATCACCCTAAACTAAAGAAACGTTTCTCTCACTTCTCTCAGTACTCTAGATGGTGTATGAGTCGTCATATGAGCACTGAGAGGGCTTAGAAGTCTAAATACCTACCTCCCCTAGGTAACCAATTACCTAATGTATGTTGACCAAGTTCTAATACTTAACCAGCCTAAATAGTTTGCACCACATAAATTAGACTCATTATTATTATTATAATAATCCTAATCCTAATAATAATAATAATAAAAGGAAAAAGTTATATTCTCCCACTTGGTGCAAACATGGAACCCAAAGAACAAGATTACACCAACCATAATGATATGTCCTCATTAGCGCGAGTAGTATCCATTATGATCAAATGCAAATTGCCTTCGAGTACTTAGGTAATCAAACTTAATGAAACAAACTATATGTTCATTTCAATTCCACTGAAGTATTTTCTTAATGAGATAAAACTTAATAGTGTACACACTCAAAAGAAAATATCTGAAGTATCTGAAGTGTAAAAGAATTTCATTAAACTGAACTGAATGTATATACAAATTTACAAAATGGACGAAAGTCCCATTTTCTGAACCAGATCCTTGAATTAAAATGGAGGCATGCCTTTAGTCAAGGGATTTGCAAACATTAACTCAGTATTAATGTGTTCAATGAATACAACTTTATTCTTGACACGCTCCCTAACGGCTAAGAACTTGATGTTGATGTGCTTACTTCGACTCACACTTTTGTCATTCTTAGAAAGGAAGACTGCAGCTGAGTTGTCACAGTAGACTTTCAGTGGCTTAGATATAGAATCCACAATTCTAAGCCTGGAAGATGAAATTCTTGAGCCATACACCTTGCGAAGTGGCCTCGAAATATGAAACGAACTCGGCTTCCATGGTAGAAGTAGTTAATAAGGATTGTTTAACAATTCTCTATGAGATAGCCCCACTGGCCATTATAAAGATGTACCTAGAAGTTGATCTCCGAGAATCAAACACAGCCAGCGAAGTTCGCATCATAATAACCAACAACATCCAGGATGTTCGTCTGCCTAAAATCCAACTTGAAGTCTTTGGTACCTTTTAGATACCTCAGAACTCTCTTTACAGCTCCCCAGTGGTCCATGCCCAGATTATGCAAGTACTGCCCCAACATATCAATGACAAAGGCAATGTCGGGCATTGTACAAACTTGAATATAGCAAAGGCATCCAACCGCTTTAGCATACGGAATATCCTTCATACGCTCCTTCTCCAAGTCGTTCTTAGGACATTGATCCAAACTAAACTTATCCCCTTTTGCTATGAGAGCAACATTTGGTGAACAATTTTGCATCCGAAATCTCTCCAAAACTTTGTTAATATAGGTTTCTTGCGATAGGTCCAGTATGCCCCGGGACCTATCCTTATGAATCTTTATGTCAATGACATAAGATGCGTCACCCATATCTTTCATATAAGAATTTTTGGAAAAGAATTGTTTCACGTCGCGAAGCATCCCCAAATCATTAGTGGCGAGTAGGATATCATCCACATACAAAACAAGAAAACAGACTTTACTCCCACTAACCTTCTGGTATATACAGGGATCTAAGGGACTTTCAACAAAACCAAATTAAGAAATGATCCCGTCGAACTTAATATACCACTGACGGGAGGCTTGTTTTAAACCGTATATGGATTTCCTAAGACTACACACCAAATCCTCACCACCTCTAGAAGAGAAACCTTCATGTTGTTTCATATAAACTTCCTCTTCTAGATCACTATTTAGGAACGCAGATTTCACATCTATTTGTTGCAACTCAAGATTAAAATGTGCAACTAAAGCCAGAATGACTCGAATAGAGTCTTTCTTTGATACAGGAGAAAAGGTCTCATTGTAATTAATTCCTTCTTTTTGAGTAAACCCCTTAGCAACGAGTCTAGCCTTGTATCTCTCAATGTTATCTAATGAGACTCTTTTGGTTTTAAACACCCATTTACAGCTAATCGGCTTGGTCCCATTAGGTAACTCAACAAGGTCCCAAACTCCATTACTCTTCATGGAATTCATTTCATCTTTCATGGCTTCTAACCATAAATCAGACTGTGCACAATTTGTGGCTTGTGAAAATGTTTCGGTACATTTTCAGCTCCAATGTCAGATTCTTGTAGATACGATACATATAGCTAGGAACTACTGAACGTATTACCCGAGTAGACCGTCTTAATATTGGAACACCAATATCTTGAGAAGGTTGTGGTGCAACTACCTCTTCAGGAACTGGAGGCAGTTCTTGAATCAGTACAATTTCGGTCAGTGTCGGTTCAGGATCTTGCTGTAAATCCTGAATTGGTTCAACCATTGGCTCAAAGTCCAGTTCAGGGGGTTGCTGTAAGTCCTGAACTTGTTCGTCCAATGGCTGAGTTTCAACAGCTTGTGGAATCTCAATAGTAGGTAGTACAACTACAAGCGGAACTAAAGTCGCGTTGCGTATAAGTACAACTCCGTTATATGACATAGAAGGGCGAGAGTCAATATGATCAAATAAAGGAACTATGTCCTTAAATCTATCTCTCCTCTCCCACTGATCAAGTTATCTTCAAGAAACTTAGCATTTCTTGATTCCACTTTCCTAGTAGTATGTTTTGGACAATAAAACCTATAACCCTTAGAAGATTGTGCATATCCAATAAAGAAAACACTAACAGTCCAAGGGTCAAGTTTCTTTTCATGTGGGTTATAAATCCTCACCCCAGACGGATATCCCCAAACACGCATATGATGCAAACTCGGCTTCCAACCTTTGAAAAGCTCAAAATGTGTCTTGGGGACAACCTTGGTCGAAACCCGGTTCAATATATACATTATCTTCTGAAGAGCTTCGGGGAAGTATAGAGTTGCTTAGCATACGCCGCACCATATCCAAAAGAATCTGATTCCTTCTTTTAGCAACACCATTTTGATCCAGAGAACCCGGCATGGTGTATTAGTTAACAATCCCATATTCTTGAAGGAATTTAGCAAATGGACCCAAAGCTTATCCATTTTCTGTGTATCTACCATAATATTCACCACCTCTATCTGACCTAACTATTTGTATTTTCTTCTTGCATTGGTTTTCAACTTCAGCTTTAAATGATTTAATGGCGTCCAATGCTTCAAAGCTTATGATGGAGTAAATACACATAGGTAAATCTAGAGAAGTCATATATAAAGGTAATGAAATATTTTTAACCCTGCATATCCATATCTGGACAACATATGTCAGTATGAATTATCTCTAACAATGTTGAACTCCTATTGACACCTTTCTTTGACGTGTTAGTCTGCTTACCTTTAATGCAGTCTACACAAGTCTCAAAGTCAGTATAGTCTAGAGTAGAAAGTACTTCATCCTTTACCAACCTTTTAATAAGCTCAAGAGAGATATGTCCTAATTTTCGATGCCACAACATTGAAGATTTGTCGTTAATACTGCACCATTTAGTGTTGTTTTGAACATGTAAAGAATTATAAACTGAATCATTCTTTAAGTTAAGATGAAAGAGACAATCAGACAATGTATCAGTACCAACACAAGTAGAACTACGAAATAACTTGAAATAATTAGTATTAAATTCAAATGAATATCCAAAGGGTACAAGTCTTGAAACCGAAATTAAGTTCCTTGAAAAGTAGGAACATAAAATGTCTTTTCTAACATCAAAACAGAACCATTGTCCAAAACTAAAGTGCAAATTCCGATAGCTTCTACTGGTGATGCAATCTTGTTTCCAGAGAATATGCTGCACTCAGTTCCCGTCGGCTTTCTCAAGTTTGTCATATTCTGCAAAGAGTTTGCAACGTGGATTGTTGAACCAAAGTTAACCCACCAAGACTTAGTATTAACTACTGACATATTGGACTCGAAACATACAAAAGAAGAGGAAACATACCCAAGCTCAGCCGTAAGCCTTTGTTCCTCTTGTACACACATGGATATCAACTCAATGATATACCAATCCACCTTATGTGTGATGTAGGAAAACTTAAAAGGATAGTACTCTTGAGGAAGGGTATCAAAATTCAAACAAATTGAAAACTTAATAATTTGTTCAGAAATTGAATAATAATTTAATATCAACTTTAGGCAAAAAAAAAAAAAAATTCAATTGGATAAAATACATTAGAAGAAGCCAAATATGATGATTAGAAAGAAAAAAAAAAACTTAATATGAAGCCCAAAAACCAAAACAAGCCCAAAATTATTATTATTATTTTTTAAACAACCCAGGTCTGACCGAATTGGGCCAGACCCGACCCAATGATTAAGGTCATCAGTTTCTTCATCTTCAAATAGACTGCGCAGATCAGACGCGCAACAGCCGTGGAGATAAGACGCACAACGAAGGTCTCCAGTCGTCTGGAGGGTAGTAGCAACGTCATCGTCGGGAAAGTCCGGCTCCGCTTGACCACTTCGCGATCCATCGCCCCGCCGTGCATCTACTTTCGCCGCGTCACGAACCGTCAGTCAACGGTCTGTAGAGCACGATCGACGTGCTTTCGTGGCCACAAATCCACCCGTCATCACTAGAAAAGAGACACCATTGTTGACATTACAAAGGGAAAATGACCGGAGCA